GCGTCTCGAGGTTTCTTCTTCACTGCTTTTGCACAACAGAAACGACCCGCTTTTGGACCGAATTGTCACGTGTGATGAAAAGAAGATCATGTATGATAACAGGAGACGATTCGGACAGTGCTTGGATGCCGGCGGACCCCTGAGGCAATTTCGTAGGATTGCTGTAAGACTCTGCTGAATCCTCGCGGCAAAAAGGTTATGGTCAGTGTGGTACTCATCGGCTGGTATGATCCACTATAACTCTTTGTTACCAATGCAAACCATCGCAGCAGAGATCCACTGTGAAGAAATCGACGAAATGTACCGAAAATTGCGTCAGCTGCGGCCAGCACTTGTCAATAGAAAGAGTCCGATTCTTTTGCATGACAACGCACACGTTTCACAAATCACTACGTATAAATTAAACGAATTGGGGAAAAGTTCTACCTCACCCGCCATATTCTCCAGACCTTTCACCAACTGGCTATCACCTTTTCAAACATTTTCAGATTTTCCTTGCTGGAAAATACTTCATCAATTAGGACCAGGCGAAAAAGCCTTGGTGGATTTCGTGAATTCTCGACCACCCAGTTTTTTTTCTTTAATGGGATTTCTCGACCGATGTCACATTGGCAAAAGTGTGCTGATTCGAACGATGCTTGTTTCAATTGAATCCGATGAGTGTTAAGAAAGTTATGATCGTTTCAAGTGAAACACTCAAAACGCTAAGAATTTCCGGACAACCTAGTACCTGGCAATGCCGCGTGTCACATGCTGGTGCACCTGGGGGTGGGATCCTGGATGGGATCCCGCTACTACCCACCAGCCTCATTTCTGCAAGTTTCGACTGACGAAAGACATGCGCTTCACCAGCTGCAGACCCTTCACCTCCCACATGTCAAGGAGCACAATCGGAGGTGAGTGTTCAGCGTCTCTTCTAATTTCACGTCCCAATGAAATAACAGAATGCATTATCACAATGAAAACATCATATTTGAATGATGCCACAGCATCAAGTGAGGTTCAGCTCGCTATTGGCCGTTCCCTCCAATAATTTCTTCATTCACCGATATGAGAGATCACGAGTTACACAACGACAGACTAACACACCGAATTATTAGTTTGTGGACACTGTGCCTTGGGAGGACCCACTCTCCAGCGGAACTGATCGTCATGTCTGCTCGTCTGCACCCTGAGCGATGCAGCGTTCTGACACGACACACTCAATTTAGAACGTTTCGTGTACTCGAATAGACAGTGGAACGTTTGTCACTAAAGTCAACTGACCGCTGCTCGCTGACCTGGCTGAATTGCGCAGGGGAGCGGCGCCTCTCAGAGCATGACGTTTGTCTAGAAGAGTGACACTCGTAGCTCCCAACGAGCTCTGATTAAGTTTCGCACTAGAATTCTTTGTCAGTCACACTGAAGTAACCATTCTGGTATCTTAAGACGCCATCTAGCAGAGACGTTGGTGAATTCATCGTCTGCCCTTGAGCGTCAGCAGACATGAACATGCTCTCCATACCCCTTGAACATCAGTTCCCTGCATTTAAAGGCAGCGCCCGCGTTCAAATTTGATGAGTATGCGGCTCAGGAGTAATAGCAAGATAGCAAGAAACCTGTTAGAGGAGAAGGATCGAAAAGAAAACATGCAAAACGCCCTATAAGGGGTTTCATACCGAATAGCGGTTGTACGTGCTTAAGGCGAAGAGAAGGAGTGATTGCACGAGTTCTCACTTGTTGATTTCAGCTGTTTTCCCTTATCACCTCACTCTCACCACACGGACGTGGAGAGAAGCAGCAATGGAACAACCGCACCATCAGGCAACCATTAGAAATGAAGTTGGGCGTCGTGGTCGCCAGGTGGGCGGGGCGGTCGACCTTTTACTAGCGATAGGCGCTATCCTCTCGCCTCTGTGAGAGCAAAACTAGTAGATACTGCATCCTTAAGGGGAGGGCTATGATACCTGGAGAGGGCGTAAGAATATCAAGTGGACGTGGGCGCTGCCTTTGAAGAGACTACCCTAGTATCCCAGTGATAGGCCGCATTGAGTATCATCTGCGCGAGTAATCAGTCCATCGGGCAACAAAGGCTTGACCACTTGGTCTACCGTATGACTCTAGTCAAGTTTGTAGTAAGATGTGCTCAGACCGTGCGCAGCAATTTCCTGACTAATGGAGCAGACTATGTAAGACCGTCATTCTGAACGTAGTAACTGCCGTCAATGGTAGAAGATTTTTTACATGACGCTACTGTAGCTGGTATTACGGCGCCACCTATCTCTGCAGTCCCCCTGCAGCCCCTCCGCACCCTTCACTGCGATAGTAGTTCCTTATTTAGGCTAGGCCTCAGAAAAGCCCAAACAACCAGAGTCCGCGCAGCCTGTCTCATCTTTTCAATCATCAATACTGAATGACTCTGTACATTAGTGCCATCTGAGCCGTATCAATTGTGGTTGGCCTCAAGTTCGACTCACGTGTTGGTCCATTTAATGATCGGACGGGAAGATCTGAGTTGAAGTCGACCGTTCCGTGTGAACCGCAGCAGATGACTGGATACGCTCAATGCTGTTGACTGCTCTTCTTATCGTTTCACGGAGAGACGTTATACGTCGTCAAAACAAATTTAAGAAGACTAAGAAACATTCACAAACATCCACCTGAAACTTCAGTTTCATTTCCGCGATAATCATGCGCGAGGGAGCACCTGAATAAGATTACATAGACTGGAATAGTATAGGTATTTTTTGTTAAACTCGCACTAAGCCCCCATACTACTTTACTGTCTTAATCAGGTTTCCGTGGTGACGTCTTCTCCAGAGCCCGAAAAAATAGAAGCACATCGTGATTGCTCTACCAAACGTTTCTGCAACCACATTTACCGTAACCCAGGCAGATCTTTGGTAACACCCGAAAGCTGACAGTTATGGCAGTCTGAACCTTTTTCTTTCAGAGCCCTTGACAGGCCTGCCTTAAGTAGGACCTGAGCTACCGCATAAATCAAGGTATCCTTCCCTCCACCTTCCGGTTCATTTTTAGACTAAAAACCTGGATCCGAAACACCTGCACATCATCCCCACCACTGTGGCTGGTAGGCCTGACAAGAGCGGGAGGCTTGCCGCGTTCCCGGGCAGACTTAAAATCCAACTATGCTAGGAAATGTTATGCAGACCTTTACGGTATGGACAAGGTTTTTGACGTGGACGAATCATTTTGAGTGTGTACATTTTACTACGTTCAGAGTCGTAGGGGCCTGTGAGGGTGACTAGGACTATGCAATGGTTGCATGTAGGTGGAGTGGAGGCAGCCAGTATAGAAGCCAGTGTTTTTTTGCCTCAGAAGGGTGGTAAGCTTGATTGGCTGGGATGCGATCCAAGTCGGTATTTGACCCTTAGGTGGCGCGAGTGGAGCCTTTTGCCACTACATTACCTCCACTCCACTGAAACATTAATATTATCATGCTATTACATTAAATATTTAGGTCATCTACTTCTAATATTTCTATGTAAGCGCGAACAAGTAAGGTGGTGGTCGAGAACTCTTTTCATGGCATGTTCTGAGCAAGACAGTTGAACGGAAAAAGGAGATTTTCCTCTCTCCGAAGACCACTTAACACCTTTCTGCAGTTTGCGGGTTTCTGAAATGAAAGCATTGGGGATTCATTGGGGAAAACTCCGAGTAGGGCGGAAACCCGTTTCCTTTGTACCATTTCAGGTGGGCGTCACCAAAGAGTACATCTAAAGCGGACCTCGTCGTGGAACAGAGCTACGCAATGGATGGTTTAGCGTCCATTAGCCTCATTCCTGGATGCGCCATGCATTAGGCTGCCACTAAGAGGTAGTGGAATGGTGCAACTTCGGTGCTGTTCAGTCTTACGAACTACGTAGTTACGAACTTCTGTCAAATTCAATATTGTTTGATCATTTTTATTTTTTCTTTTTGGTAGTGCTACTGACATCCCTGTTTGGTGTTGACTGCCCCTCTCATTACGACCCCTCCCCACCCCCACTGCCAAATACGACCCCTCCCCTATTGGGGAATCCCCAACGATGATGTGCCTTATTTCCGAGTTTTTTCTTGTTACTTATCTCACCTTGACTGCGGCAACCTCGAATCCGTTCCTCTCTACGTACTTGCATAACACCAAATGGTTCGACATATTTATTGATTGTTTATTAATCAAAGAATCATAATAAATAAATCTCACACGTAGACATTAATTGCGGGCGCGTATTATGCGCGACAAAGGCATTTGTGGTGTAAATAATGAAGTGAGAGCGCTCAGAAAATCACAGTAGTAGCGGCGTAGATCAATTCTACAACAACATATCGACTGATGAAAATCGCTCAACGATCACAGACTACGTGGAATACCGATTAATTCTTGAAAATGACTACTATGAGAAAGAATAAATAATAGAAATTAGGCACATAATATAGGATGGTAGGTATATCACACTAGTAAAGACACGTGTACTTTGAAGGAGTGAGTTTTGTTTACAAAGTTAAGGCGCGTATTGTTCATGATGCTACAATGAATTTCATTTAACAATGTGATTGGATATAATGGAAAATATTGTTGATAATAAAGGCAAGATGTCAAGAAATACGAATTTGTGGACCAAGATTAGGGTAGCAAAAAATGTAACGCTTCTCAGAAATCGTAGGAATCTTATCGATTTCACTCTCGAAGCATTAGTGGACTGACTTTTGAGACGCATTGAAAGAGGAAAGAATGTGAGTTAAAGTGGTGACAAGGGCACTATGAACTAAACAAATTAGTTTCTTAAAGTTCTGAACGAAAAAATGCACAGCGCACGTCAGATATGTCACGAGGTTTGGCATTTCGGTTTTTGTCTTCGTTTCTTTTTCCTTGTAAATGTTTCAGAAAATGATTTTAAATTAATGCAGTCAACGCTCAGCAAAGAATAGCATCCCAAGTTTATTGGGCGGCGAAAAACATGCGTTCAGATGACTGAGGGACGCAGCGCAGATGTTAGCTGGAGGAATGTCGAGGGTCCTTAGGACTGAATAAGGGTGTAAATTGGTTGATGCGGTAGGGCTTGTGGCAGAGTCATCGGCACAGCGGTAGGCATGAATTGTGCATCTATCGGAACCTGAAACAAGTTTGATTTCAGTTATGTAAATGGTTAGGCGTCGTTGCAATAAATAGGGGAAATTTATAAATTCCGGTGCAGTTAGGTGACGCGGGGAGGGGGCACTTTGCCCTTTTGCCCTTTCTCACCGATCACCGACGTTTCGAGCCATCGAGAGAACCATGGTGGCTGGACGAGCTTGGTCCAGCTGCACAAGAGTTCACAGCTTTCACCATAGTGAAACTTGTAAACCGGAACTAGTGAAGTTGCGAATGTACAAAAACGCCCCCATCGCCGAACAATGCCGTCAATTCCACCAACAAACCGGACTTTTTCGTGAAGTCCAGCAAGCTCTTGAATAATAGAATTCTACGAGCTTTGTTTCTACTCATTTTTCACTTTCGAGCTCTGTCAGACGGCAGTTACATAGTGTTTAAAGGAGCGAAACAAATTTGTGAGCTAGGTAAGTAAATGAGGATGTATCGCTGAACCTGCGAGTAGGAGCAGAGTTCGAGTGGGTAAATTCATTCTCTCATTCACCTCAGAGCTCTTTCCCTGGTTTTATGTGAAAATGCTCACCCCTTTCACAATAGTTTCTTTGCACCGCACGTTGATGGAATCTCCGGCTTACATGTGGACCGGTGCAATCCCATCCGTCTCACACAAAAAGAAGAGGTCTGATCTAGTTCGCAGCTGCCACCACCTCGTTAAAGCTATGCTAGACAGGCTAACCTGAAGGGACGACAACACTTCTTTGCGCCCATGACTTCTATGGGCACTTTCCTGGACGAAATCGTCATAAAAATTATCCTTGCAATGAAATGTCATGAGAATTTTCTGTTAAGGGTAGGTAGTGGTTTGATATGTACAAAGTGTGGAAGTGTCGGAGGTGGTGTAGTGACAAGTGGCTCGCTTACTACTCGCCCAGTTCTGGGTTCAAACCCCGGGTCGACTACCATACAGTCCCTCCAAGCCTCTACCCTCCGGGGACGATAAATTGGTACCAGGCTCATCTTCGGGGATAAGAACGCCAACTTGTTACCAATTTTTCCGAAGAAGATCATAATCAAATATTATAAAAAATCAAATATGTTTGGTATGAGACCGATATTCAGGAATTGACCGGTATTCATAAATGAATAAAAAAAAATCGAGAAGTGTGGAAAGAAAGGAGCTGAAGGGTTTTTTCTCTGTAGTTCGACAAAGAATACTGTCGTAAGCAATGCAATATGAGAATGTGAGAGACAGCTCGTGATTTGTGAAATGTTGTACGACCCCCTTCTCCGCACTACTTGTAATATTCCTAAGTTTTCTTTTTTTTCTAAGTTTCCTTCCTACCTAGTTCCTCAGTTTCTCAATTTTTCAAGAAGTTCTCCAGTTTTCCAAAAAATGCCATCGAGTCGGGAGGGAGCAGGTATCAACAATCAAGTTCTACACTCAACAATCGAAAGCAAAGACTATAAAGGGATTTTGCGGCGTCCTCAAGGGAGGGGACTAAACTCTAACCCCAGATTCTCCCGACGATACTCTACCCTAGCTGGTGATCTGCTCACTAGAATGACGAATAGGGAAACCAGTTCTGAAAAAATCCAATAAATATACCTTCTGAAGAAACTGTGGATCGATCGCAACCACCGGTGGATCAGACGGTGTTCGCGATCTGATGGTCACCACTGCTTCGCCGGGAATATTGCCTTGAGCTACTCGAGTGAACATCACCTATAGTGAAATAGCAATAAATGAAGCCAAAATGCCGCAACAAATACATGCATGTGGTGCAAATCCCATTCCAAACTCACATTCTCAACAACCACGTCTGGAGTTTGGAAATGGGCGATTATGTCAGGTAAACCAACATTGGGGCCAATACCATAGACGACAAGTTGATTAACCTAAACAATCGAGATCATCAACATTCGCTATTAATGTTATGAACAACGAATTGATCAATTTTGGTGCACCTGTCCCGGTATAACCATATTAGGCGAAACAGGAGGTGATGGATACGGCCAGAACATCGGAGCTGACATCGGTACTAAGCCGGGAATGTCTGAAAAAACAACCTTGTATCGAAAATACGTTTGATGAGTAAGCACGATAGCGGTACTCACTTGACACAAAAGTTGGTCTTTGCGGCATCATAATAGGAGGAGGTGGCGGTACAGGCGCTGGCGCTGTGGGAGCCATCACCAAGTGCATGTCGTCGGGAGAGCATTGGAAAACCTTCAAACCACAGTTGATTTGGGAAAAATTAGACGTGCACAAGAATATTGAAGAAATCACTGACTCATGTTCAGAGGTTCACCCAGGGCACATAATGGGCTGGGCATTTTGGTCGCTTTCGGTTCGTTGTTTATTCCAGGGCAAGCCTAGCCGCTGGGGAAAATTTTCGGAGAATACAAACCTCCCCAACTCCCTACCACTTGTTCCAGTTTTCAAGGAATTTAATGAAAATTTTTTACTTTTTTCCTAAAGTTTTGCGGTCGAGCGCAGGGCACATAATTGGTTGTGGATTTTGGCCGAATCCGTGCAACCCCCTTCTTTGAGGGAGGTGGTACGACCCCTTGATTCCCTCCTAACCAGCTGTCGAGCGGGGGGGCGTTAGTAAACAGCACGTGAAACGGGAAAAGCGCGGCGAGGAAACCCGATGCCCTTCTGCCATTCCTTAGCCTTTCCCAGCTACCTACCACTTTCGAGAATTTTTTTTCTTTTTTCTCCCAAAATTTTTGCTGTCGAGCGGGGGTTTATATAGTACACATGAAACAGGAAAGGCCACAAAAAGTCAGCAACCTCTCTCAGAAGGTCAGAAGGGAATGCGCCCCCACCCCAAAGAACAAGCAAAGACAAGTGCGATCCCCCCCCCCTTACAACGTCCGTGAGACAAAAAATCAACTATCGAAATAACTGTTCTCAGGCCAGTACGACCCCCTCCCTTCTCCCAGCTAGCAAATACGACCCTCCGTTGGAATCATGTACTCCGGTTGAAGCGGAGGAGTGGGGGAGGGGGTACATAGCAATGTGAAACAGGAAAAATCGCGAAGCAAATGTGACATCCTTCCCCTATAGCGCCCTGTGAAGCAAGAAAAAACCAACTACCCAAAAAAAAATTTGTCAGGCTAAGTATGAGCCAGCTACGACCCACCTATTGGGGAATCCTCAACGCATGATGTGTCCTAGGTTCACCCCTTCAAACCACACCCGTAACCACCCAACTGCTGGCCTCCTGCTAAACCCATATTTTGGTCACGTTACCGCGAAGCCTTTTAAATATCGGCGTTTACTGCTGTTTTCTATTCGCGGCCTCCGCTTTAGGCAAACACTTGTATAAGGCCATCATAAAGGTGGTCGCAAATTGCACGTTCGGTTTATGTTTGACGCCTTACGCGAGAACCTTGAGAGGTGATAGAGAACAGGGAACCGTGCATTCGCTAGCCCTAATAAACCAAGGATCACACTCGATGAGCCTCTCCCATTCCGAATGAGAGTAAAATGCCGTATTCCGCAAAAAGACTAGTCAACGGCAGAAGCTTTGTCCTTTCAGTTTTGGCTCTGATACATTATCCTGCGTGAGCGGGGGACAACGGCAAAACGAGTCTTATGGTTTTTATAATGACCATTAATAGACCACAAACAACGGAATTGCTTGTGCTGCTTTTATGACGTTGCCCGGCACTGGTCGGTGGAAGCGACCATCAGCAGTACTTCCATCTCGCACAGCACCTTGTTTAGCTAAAAATGATGCTCACCTCAATATACCTCTGCTTCTTGCCGATGATCATGAATTTGTTATGAGCGGCAGCAGCTGCTCCAGCGGCCGCCTGCTCACTGTTCATCTGGATGAATGCTTCGCCGGATGGATGACCTATAAAGAGCTTCGATTAGAGATGTGTCGGAACTGTAAACATTGTGTAGACAGTATTTCCGTTGTTACTGGAGCAATGCTGAATTATGGCAAAACAACTGACCTGCTGAGCAGGAGAACTAGAATCGGCGGTAAATTGCGGTAGCTACAATCTTTAGCGCCGGTAAGCTATGGCTACACAGCTATACGAATCTAGAGCGAATAGCCGAGGGAAGGCACATGAGGTCGTGGTAGTGGAAAGCACGGCGTAAGCTCAGGATGGGAGTGTGTTCGAATCCTATCCACGCCAATTGTTTTGCCCATAACTACGCACCTTCGTGACAAGGAGTCTTGTCGCGAACTAAGTCGAAAAACTGCGCATGACAAAATCAAAACAAATCAGCCATTGTGCACCATCACGACCCAAAACAGCCTTGGAAGCTCTAGGCGGGTCGGATGTAGTTA